TGGGTTTGATGAGGTTTGGTAGGGGTTTAATGGGATTAGGTAAGGGGGAGTGGGTACTGAGGAAGTTTATGGGTTTAATAGGGTTTAGTTGGGGCTTAATTGGATGAGTTTTATAGGATTAATGGGGTTTGATTTAGAAGTGTTTGATGGGTATAATTGGTGTATAATGGGCGCGGTATAATGGGTGAGTATCGTGTTTGATAATGGTTGTAATAATGAATCCCGATGCTACTGCACATTTTAAATAAAAAAGACACGTCATTTAACCTAAAGCGGACTGTCACATCAACGTATTAAGAACTGACGCAACCCTGAATCGCAGACGGGAACCCTGACGGAGGACGACCTCGCTCTCGCCGGCGTCATCCCTTGCACCGAGGGAGACATGGGCTCTCCTGTCGAAGACGTGTCCCAGCTGCAGGTCGAGCAGCCGCTGACGAGAGCGCTGGCCACGTGTCACTCCCTCACCTCCATCAACGGGAAACTGGTCGGTTATCCTATTGACACCAAGATCTTCAGCGGCATCGGATGGGTGAGACAAAAGTGCATCGCGTTGCGTGTTGTGTGCGTCTGTGCGCAAGGGAAGAAAAGTAGATAGTGTTCATTGTGGAATATCGATTCAAAATTTGTATTTATGGTTTGATTCGTATTCAATACTGCCAGATCAGAGTTTGATACAGTAGTCGATAAAATAAGTTTTATTTTTCCTGTATGTAAATGGCTGAGAATTACATTTTCAGCAATGGCAAATCAAGATGAATATATGAATCATGCATTCAAAGAAAAACAACGAAAATATAGACATTTAATGACAGTTTACACAACTAAGAATTGCTGAGATTGTCTAAAAAAATCACAGATCCGCTTTTAAAAGCTCCGGAAAAATATACATCCTCAAGTAGTAGTCACTTTCACATCGCCAGGCGTCACTACCGCCTTTTTGCTCTAAACCCAAGACTAACCTTGCACCCCCTCCCGCCCCTTCCTCCCCTTTTTCCTCTTCCTCTCCTTCCTCCCCGCCACCAGAACCTGCTGGAGTCGGACCCCGCGGTGAACCAGGACTACGGCATGGTGGCGCTGATACGGGTGCAGCCTCCGCCGGGCGAGCGCGTGCTGCCCGAGGACCACGAGGTCGCCGTGCTCAAGACGTTCCCCTTCGAGGCCAAGGAGCAGCGCACCACGGTCGTCGTGCGCCGGAGGGCTTCCCGCCTGCGAGGTCTTCGTCAAGGGGCGCGCCGAGAAGGTGGCGTCGCTCTGCCGCCCCGACACAGGTGCTCTCAGTAATGCATGTGTATGTGTGTGTGTGTGTATACATTATATTTGAAACACACACACTACACTGTGTATATATATATATATATATATATATATATATATATATATATATATTATATATATATATATATATATATATATGTATGTTGTATATTTGTGTGGGTGTCTTTGTTAGTGTACGTGTATGTGTGTGTGTGTGCATGTGTGTATGAGTATGGTGTGTGTATATGTATGTATGATGTATGTATTGCAAATACATATGAACAATAATGTAAAAACATTGTTATACACACATACACTAAAAGTTTCTCAGTTTTGCTTCCTAATAAACTTAAACTACTTATTTACTCTTCCCTTTTTGTGTGACCACATTTTTTCCCCCCCTAGTCACGCAAAAATCGCTCCTAAGTTTAAGTGTATTTTGCGTTTAACAGTTCCAGGAATCACCGAGGCGGCCCTAGAGTGGTACACGAGGCAAGGACTCCGGGTCGTCGCTGTCGCAGGAAAATCTCTTCAGGAAGGACTCGAGTGGGAAAAGGTCTCCTCACACAGACACGTGACATTTTAAAATGACAGCAGGATTCTTATCTAGACTATTTTAATCTTATTTTCTGGGATTATGAAAAAATAGACAACGAAATATTAATAGTAAGAGACTAAGCAATATGGAAAAAACGAAAATATCTGGAATTAATCCGGTATTAACCCTAGGTGGATCTAACGCCCCGTGAAGTTCTCGAGGAGGGCGCCATGTTCCTGGGGTTGGTGCTCCTGCAGAACAAACTGAAGGTCGAGACGGCTCCTGTCCTGGCAGCGCTCCACCAAGCAGACATAACGACTGTCATGATCACAGGTAAAAAAGGCCTGTATGGTCACTTAGGATATTAACTTCATTTAAATTAAGATCACGTAAAAGACGACCAAACCTAAAAAATTAATCACAAAACTCGAGAACCAAAATCCAGAAAAATTACTTACTTGAAATAAAAACTCTGAAGCCAAAATTCCAAATCAGCTTTCGTAAGATAAAAAACCAGTCTAAATTATAATTTCTGTTCACCTGAAATAAGATTCAAAACCTAAATCTCTGTCCACCTTTAAGTCCTATAACCGTGAAATCAAAATCCTGAGCCAAAGTCTTGCATCCTAATAAAAAAAACCTAACCCCCCTCCCCCAAATCGTCCTAAAACGACTTAGAATCCTCCCAAAACTACCTAAAATCATCCTAAAGGCCCCCTCTCTCTTAATCCGGAAACCTCCAACAGGCGACAACCTCCTGACGGCGCTGAGTGGCCCCGAGAGTATCCTCCGGCCGCCAGATGATCGTCGTGAAGGCGCAGATGGTTGCGGCGTCGGCGAAGGCAGCTCAGCATCTTCAGGTCTATTACTTCGATGCTGATTACGATGGCGGATTGCGCAATCAGGTCGGTCGTTGGCGGGGTGAGAGGGGCGGAGGGACGGAGGGAAGGAGGGGAGGAAGGAGGACAGAGAACGGTGGGACGAGGGATGGGGGCGAGCTAAGGAGGGAGGAGGAGGGACAGAGGGTGGGACGGAGGATCCTCATTCTGTATTATTGTAAAAGAGAGAGAGAGAGAGAGAGAGAGAGAGAGAGAGAGAGAGAGAGAGAGAGAGAGAGAGAGAGAGAGAGAGAGAGAGAGAGAGAGAGAGAGAGCAGAGAAGACAGAGCAGGCAGACAGAGACAGACAGAGACAGAGAATGTCAATTTACCCTATTTGACGATATATACTGGCGACCGACGGAGGCAGACCTTCCGAACCTGATCTATCGAGGCTGGATACAGAGGGCTGGACAAGGAGCTTTTCCAGCGCCTCGTGCACAAGGGAAGGGTCTTCGCCAGGATGAAGCCGGAGCAGAAAATCACGGTGGTGGAGGCCCTGCAGGATCTCGGGAGTGTGTGTGTGTGTGTGTGTGTGTGTGTGTGTGTGTGTGTGTGCGTGTGCGTGTGCGTGTGCGTGTGTGTGTGTGTGTGTGTGTGTGTGTTAGGTGATGGTTGTGGTGGAGGAATTTGGGTGTGGGTGTGTTTGTGTGCGTGATTGTAAGATTGTGTGAGTGCGTTTGCATATTCATGTACCTACGTGAGAATGGGTATGGCTTAACAAACTGATGTTATTTAATGTTCCTTGTAGGTATTTGGATAGATAAACGAGTAAGTTTAACATTAGTCGGTGAGCAGATCAATAATAGACCGTTTAATATCCATAAAGGGAATTGGTAAGTGCAGTAGTGAATGAACAGACACGCAAAAGTAATGAGTGGAATAAATGCTTCATATGTTCTTTGATGGATTACCCATACTGCAAATCTAATCTATAGTTCTTTCCGTTTCTGAGAAAAATATCATCCCTTCGACTTACTGAGCATATACGAAGTGACTAAACTCAGACTACACACCACCGAATCCTCTGAAAGCCGTCAGTAAACAGCCTCTCAAACCTCCACCCTCCCTTCCAGCCACCAAGTCGCCATGTGCGGGGACGGCTGCAACGACTGCGGCGCCCTCAAGGTGGCTCACACGGGCATCTCCCTCTCGTCCGCCGAAGCCTCCGTGGCCGCGCCCTTCACCTCGCGCCGCCAGGATATCACGTGCGTGCCCACCCTCCTCCTGGAAGGCAGGGCCACGCTCGTCTCCATCTTCGCCGCCTTCAAGTACAACGTCGCGTCCATGTTCGGCGCCCTCATCTGCGTCGTCTTCCACTTCTCGGTCAGGACCCACCGTATATGCTGCACATACACATATCAATTCTGTTGCTTTGTCTATATATTTCTGTTAATTAGGTCTGGTACTGAAAGCAATACCTATGTATTGAACGCTGTGACATTTCCTATACATTAAAACCAATTTCCTAATACACACAGACGAAATCAAACCCTGAAATATAATCACAGTGAAATCCTAAAAGTATATAAGTACCTTGAGAGTCCCAAAGAAAAAGAAAAAGAAATCCCTCCTAATTCCTAACCGTCGACGCCTCCTTCCGCTTCCTCCCTGGCCAGATCTTCACGGAGCCCTCAGACGAGCAGTACGTGACCATGGACCTCGTCTTGGCCACAATCCCGGTGCTGGTGATGGGGTACACTGGCCCCACCGACCGCCTCGTGCCCCGACCCCCGACCCGACGCATTCTCACCTTCCTCCCTGCGGCTTCCATCTTCTCCTTTCTTATCTTCCAGACTATTATTTATTGGTTGTTGCTGCTCTACCTCCGCGTGCAACCATGGTATGTATGTTTTTTTTATGTACTGTTTTTTTTTTTGAGTTGCGGACTAGTGGGAAGAGAGTTTGTTCAATGGATAATGGGAAAAGTTATTGGTTCTGTTTTATTTTTGGTTGTCGAAGCTGTAGGTTGTATGGTGGGGTGGGATTTATAGTTTGATTTTATGGTTGATTAACAAACTGTTCCTCCTTTTTTAAAAATAGGTTTGTCGAGTTCGTCCCGCCCGAGGAGTTGGAGTTCGAAGCCCCGCCGAAACCCAGCTTTGAGAACACGGAACTCATCATTGTCAATTACTATACTTACGTCATCTGCGCTTTAGTATTCTCGCACGGGTCGCCTTATCGGAAGCCCATCTATACCAACTGTAGGTTCTGTGCTGCCGTTTGCAGTGGCCAATTCTTTTGATTTATTTGTGTAATTGAAGTACCCTTTTTATGCATTTTCTATGACTGTCGCAATCATATTTTCACCAAGAAAATAGAACTTTCGTTATTTTTATTAAACTTACTTTTCATTTTTGTACGGCATATCCTGTGACTATCTTTTACCTTTTATGCTCTTACTCTCTAGAAAACAAACAAACAAACCTAAAAAAAACGATATGAGCCAAATATCTCCAAAAGTCCCCCTCCAGCTTTCCTCCCCTTCCTCCCTCGCAGACATCCTGACAGCGTACCTCCTGGCCTCGACGGTGCTGTGCATCTTCATCAACTTCTACAAGGGGGAATGGATGATCACTTTGCTCAATTTCAAGGTCATTCCTTCCGCCAGCTTCTCCGCCATGATCTTCCTCGTCGTCATCCTCTACGGCGCCGTGACCTTCATATGGGAGGTGGGTGGGAGGAGAGAGGAGCAGGAGTGGGAGAGGGTGGAGAAGGAGTGGGAGAGGGTGAGGAGAGGATGAGGTGGGTGGAGGAGAGAGGGTGGAGCAGGAGTGGGAGAGTGTGGGAGGAGAGAGGGGAGAGGGTGGGGGAGAAGAGAGGGAGAGGAGAGGGAAAGGGTGGGGAGGAGAGAGAGGAGAGGGGGGAAGACAGAGGTGAGGGAGAAGGGAGAGGGAGAGGAGAGAAGGAGGGGAGAGGGTGGGAGGAGAGAGGGAAAGGGTGGGGAGAGAGACGGGAGAGGGGAGGAAGAGGAGAGGAGAAAGAGAGGAGAGGGGGGAGAGAGGGAGGGAGGGAGAGAGGAGAGGAGAGAGGTGGAGAGGGGAGGGGGAGGAGAGGGAGTGGGTGGGGGAGGAGAAAGGGGAGAGGTGGGATATGAAGGGGAGGGGAGAGGGAGTGTGAGAGGGCGAGGGAGAATAGAGGAAACAGAGAGAGGAGAGGGGGACGGGTATAACGTGAGTGAGAGAGAATGAGAAAGAAAAAAATATAAGCCCGTAATAACCATATCCACATTTTCGTCGTACAAATAACGTATCTCGATTTTTCAAAACTCCGCAACAAATATTTCAGCACTGGTGGTTATACGGAGTGATCCAAGAGCGCCTGATGCCCTGGCTGGCGAGGACGTGCGGGCCGCGATCTCCTCACGCCAAGCTCGAGGCCGAACTGAAGGACATCAAGAGCTGGCCGCCCTTGACAGAGCCCCCGGACATCGATGCGGGGAACGAAGCAGGTATGGATAATAAGTGTCTTTTTTGTATGGCTGTGGGTTGTTAGTTTGCTATAGATCGGTTTTTAGGTGTAAGTGTGAAGTTGAATGGTATGTACAGGCAGGTGGAAGATAGATATAGTGGTAGAAAGATGGAAAGATGGCAATATACACAGATACATAGGCACTTCCTCGCACACCTGCGCAGACACACACACACACACACACACACACCACACACAACACACACACACACACACACACACACACACACACACACACACACACACACACACACACACACACACACACACACACACACACACACAACATCAACGTCATACAAAACTTTCCCTCGCACACTTCTCCGGCAGAAGGCGATGAGGGAGACGAAACGATGGACTCGGAAACTCTGGAGAAGGACGAGGCCGCCCTCCTCATCAGAAAGCTCACCCGGAGGCACCGATTCAAAGCGACCGTCAAATACCACAACGAAGTCAACCCAAGTCAGTCTTCCCCCATCGATGTCCCCGAACTACCCAGCGTTGCCATGACGACCAAGACGCCGCCGTTGAACTTCGGCGAGGTTTCGAGTCCCGTTCCGGCGAACTTGCTGGAGACCGTTCCGCCGGAGAGGTAATGGTTTGGACGTCGTGTGTAGTGGAGAACTCAGACACAACACTGACTGCAAATTACGTTTTTTTTTTCTTTTTTTTTTTTGGGGGGGGGTATTTTTTCTTTCTTTTTTACCAACACGCTTAAATGATTTGTTATACACAGGGCACTTTATTTAGCTTCTTTACATTCCCTGAATTGAGCGAGGCCCGACTCAACGAATACTTATGCATATGGACATGTTTATACACTGAAAAATGCATATTTATCAATCTAGATTTCACACCTATTGGATAGATTGATAGGCAAGTGCATATATATTAGATAGATATACAGTGAAAATTCATAGTGTCGGGCCTCTCACAATTTTAACAAACCGGTCGTCTAGATTTGTGAAGAACGGCCTAACACACCGATTAATAACGTAATATTTTTCACAAATGATATTTCTTGCAGTGCCGGCTACAGAGAACCCTGGGACAGTCAACAAAGCGAAGGAAGTAGGTTCATGTTCAACCACAGCGTGAGGCATCAAATCATGATGGGAACTAAAGGTGGATTCAGCACCTTTAAAGGGAGTGTTAAGAAGGTAGGATGTGCCTAGATTCATTTCGTTTAACGCAAATTCACCAACGTATTGCCAAATCTTGAAGTATAAAAGCTCGAAAATGAATAATTCTGAAGTGAAAATATATCACTAAACAATATTCAAAAGAGAAACATGGTATTAAGAGAGATCTAATTATGTCATTCATTATTAACCAAATCCGTAAATAAATATTTTAAACTGCCATTGAACCCTACAGCACAATAATAAGGGGGACATTGAGGATGCAGAACCTTATGAGGTGATTAGGCTGACTGATCAATCATCAATAGAGCAAAGTAATGTTAATGGAGGAGAAGAGATCTATGCAACAATATCGGTAAGTTGAGTAAAAGGAAGGTAGACCTATATGTATTGAGGTTAACAGAATTTAGCTTATATAATGTTATATATAACATATTTGTTCTACATATTACATAACAATGATTTGTTGTTGATATGTTGTATTGTGCACATTTCTTTCTCGATGCTAATGCTTGTAATAATAATCCTTATGGTATTTTGAACAGGAGACTTATAATGGAGATTTGCAAAGGACTGAAGATTTTGAACAGGATGATGAGAGCCACTACCAGGACCCCGTGCAAGAACAAGCACCAGCTCCAGGCGGAAATTTGGACAGCCTCAGGAGAAGAACGGAGAGACAGAAAAGTGAGATGGATGACGTTTTAAATTATGTAGATGAGCTTGAGTTTAATGACGATATACCAGAAAGGAGAGTGAAATTTGCAGATTCTGAAGATGAAGAAAATTCAAGCTTGCTAGAAAGTGTGACTGCTGCCTGGAATCGCATATCCAGAGCATCATTTGCACTTAGCAGCCATCCGGTAAGAATACTGTGGTTTGCTGCTCTTTTTGAACTAATGTAAATTTCTTTAAGGTACTCTTAAACAAAAAAACAAAACAAATACTGAATGTATTATGTTTACCCTAAAAAGAACAACAATATGTTAATCACTCTTACCTTTAAAGAAAACTGACTCTTGTTTGCCACTGCCTTCCTGGGTATGTCCTTGCTTCAGTCTAGTATTTCATATTTCAGGATGATACGAACACTGCACAAACCATTCCTGAAGAAGCTTCTTGGCCTGGACACCCACAGTTATTATATGATGTACCTGGACCACCAAGACCTGTTGAGAGCCACCTTTCCCATGGAAACAATGAACGAGGAGCTTCTGTTGAGAATTACCATGTTTTAACTCTTCCCCATGAACAAGGGGAAAGCAGAGAAAGTAATGCTTGAAGTGTTCCAAACCTCCGAGATGAGAATTTGAGTGCAATTATTACTGTGTTTTTGTATATCTAATCTTTATACTGTTGAGAAAATGAGTATATTCTTGATATTGGGTTATCAGAAGTACCAATATACCTGTGTTATTTTATGTTATTGCACAAGAGTATTATGTAAAATAATCTCAGTATTTGTTTTAAAGTACAGACTTATCTAAAATACAGAAGCCTTGTTATGTTTGTCTGAATAATAGAATACAAATTTAAACTAAGGCAGAAATTCATTAATGAGTATAGGAAATGTTCAAAGTTGTGGAACTTTAAAATAGCATAGAGTCAGATCAGCATCTATGTGAATACTCCATTTATTTATTATATTGGACCCCACTGTACTAAGTATTAATAATATTCATACTTACATATGCATTTAAAATCAAAGAAATGAATGTGTAAAGGAAATACAACTGATATCCTAATGCAGCTACTTGTATATACTGTATGAGGTGAAATGTTTTGCACAGCACAATGTTCATGCATGCCATTTGTACCTATTCACGTTCAAGGCATGTATAGCTTTATAAGATTTTAATAGTATTTGATAAACCAATGTTCTAACTATGTAATACAGTACCCTGTTGTGATAGACAAAAATACTTCAGCTTTATTTTAAGATTAATGCATTCTTTCTATTATGTGTATTATGATGATGCAACAAAAAAGGGATTTTCAAATCTAAAATGCATTATCAAAAAATTGCTTCTCATGTATATTGTATAATTGTACTTGTTTCATGGTGTGTTTGGGATACATCTAGGCTTTATGTTACCATGTATGTCTCAATGTTAGGAAGTTTTCCTTGTTTTTCTAATTTTAAGCAATGGGTATAATTAGCAGAAATAAAAGTAAAAAAATGCCTGTACATATTTTAGTGTAGACGTTATTTGCATGGTGAAAAACTGAAAACATCTTTCCCTAGTGATCTAAATAGTTTTCATAGGTGTTTAAATAAGAAAAGAAAAAAAGTAATGTACATAGTTAGGCAAGTATTACCAGACAATTCACAATGTAATAAATGAAGAATAATGTATTTCATTATGAGGATGACATATTTAAGTAAATTAGATTTTTTTTTTTTGGCAAAATTACTTTGAAAAATTCCTTAAATGTAAAATTAGTCTGATCTCTTTGCTTATAATTTCTTGTTAGAATAATTTTTCACATATGCAATAAAAAGTTCTTGATATTGAGCACACTTTTATTTTCATATTTCATTTATAATACACATTTACACAATAATTACACACTCTTATGATCCAGAAATCACCAACATTAAAAAACAAAAATCAACTGTCAACATTACATACAAAATGAAGAGTTAAAAACAAGATGGTCAATGCACAAATATTAAAACTAACATAGGCGGACGCTAACACTATCTGAGGTAGTGAGATATCGAACCCATTTACTGACGTTGTTTAAGGCTGGATTCAACTTCACTCTTTCTACTCTGATTCCTGAACACACCCAACGGGATACCTCGAAGTCCAGTTCCCCTGAATCTATGGTAGCATTACCACCTGCATCCACCATCTGCGAAAAAAAAATCAATGGTTAAAACCAAATAAGTGGAAATAACTTTTTTTTCTAACAAAGCTAACTTCTAACTGTTGAAAATGAATAGGATTAAGAAAATGATTAAATCATTAACTGAATTAATTTTTACCCTTATGAAAGCCTGTGCATAGCTGCCACCTGGGAACTGTGATATTGTCCATGTAATAGTCTTATCTTCAGGGGAGAACTTGATATTTTGGTCTTTTGGGCCTGAAGTCCTGGACATTATTGCTGCAGTGGTTGGGGGTGCAGCTGCCCGGAAAGTCACTTGGGGTGCAAGAGTACCCATTCCTGTATTGCTTGTTAACTTTAATCTGAGCTCACAATCACTGAAAGTTGGTAAAAGGGAAGATTTATTCTAAATTTATAATCAAATAAAAACAACAACAAAGCAAACTATAACAGATTGGAAAGATCACAAAATGATCAGGAGATTCATACAGAATTCTAATTGCATCTATGAAACAGAAAGTAAAATGAGCTAGCCCCCTGCATACCTTGCAGTTAGACTATGAAATGAGGCAGCAAGATTGAAGGGCAGGAGGTGCGGATGGTCTGGGGATAGTGTGTAGCGAGCTATGGTCACTTCATGTCCTGGAGATATTATCACACTCAGCTGACGACCTGTTTCCCCACCAGCAACCTCTACTCCAGTGCCAAACTCCACCTCTGACATCCTAGCTCCAGTGCTGAATCCTGCTTAACAGAGAGTCAAGATCCTGAGATAGGCACATACTTGTCAGTTTGAAGTAAATAAAACTCAGATTGAAGCAAAAAAGTGTACAATAATACTTTACCTTCTAATGGTGTTGTGCAAAGAGGAGAGTTTAGGGTGATGGTAAGCATAGGGTTTCCTGCAAGAAAGCAGCGGGCTATTATAGATCCTGTTACTTCTGCACGAATCACAGTCCCATTTGATGCTACGGAAGCCCAAACCTTTTCGACGACATCCACATAAAGCTGTAGAGAATATCACAAAGGAAAGATTATGGTTTATCCCATTTGTGATTAACTGAGCATCATAAGAGTCTATCAACATATATCTATTTGATATTTCCTATTTTAGCTTACATTTACATAAGGCTAAATTTATCAATACCTTTGATTTATATTTCACATCAGCTTACCTCTCTTTTACTGTTATCTACTGCCAAAGCTGACTGTTGTGCAGCAGTGCAAGGAGCAGACTTTTCCATGCCAAACTGTAAGAGTGACATTCTGTTAAGGTTGTAATCACAGAAAAATATCAAGGAAAATACATAGAGTACATACTTTTCTCAAATATATGTATACATAAATGACTAGTTTTATCAGAATCAAACATTACAAATAGTATGTTTTCACTGTATTTCTTGGAAGTTTGCTGTGTGAAAGAACTCCAGAACACTTTAAGTCTCATGGCTAAAACTATACTCTGACCCAGAAATTATGATGAAGTTGATAATGAGAAAGAACATAAAGATATGAAAACTTAAATGTAACTCTCATACCAATCCAGGAGCTGCTGTCATTACAGAACTCTCCTTGGCAGTCACAACACTACTGTAAATGTGTGACTGTAGCTTATCTGCTGCCTGCATTTGTAGAAACCCTCCATTCTGTAGACATTCATTGTATATATCAGTTAATATAATAAGAAATATCAATATATAAATCTGCCACACTGACATACATAAAACCATCCTACAAGTGCTTATTGGATTATTTCAGGATTGGGTAATGAAATTAATGAAACAATAAAATAATGAAACATAATTCTTGTTGAAGGATGGCAAAATGTCATAGCATTTTAACTATTCAGTTGGGTTGTCTCCATGCAATTTATCAAAGGCTTTGCCCTCTGAAAAAATATTATTTTTTGTTAGGCTAAGGTAGCAGGCACATATAAAAGTTCAATCTTTGTGATGAGAGAAAAAAAATGAAAGCAATAAATACTAATTCCACTGAAATCTGAGCGCAATAACTCAAAACAGAATTGATAAACAAACAAAGGTATTCTAACATTACAAATAAGGTTCACTTTCCTGACAAACTACTACCACAAGATAGAGCAAGATCAAACAAACCAATGAATGAATGTTTTACTAGGAAATTCAGTCATGAAAATACATCCGCTGACCCATGTACTTCATTAATGGCTTTAGAAATCAAATTCTATAACCTCCATGTCCACACCATTAGTGAGTAATACATAAGGATTACACATAAACTTTACCATGGTTTCTTGTACTACTTCAGCAATGAGTGTTAAATTAGAGGTGATGCTATGCTGTGTGATTGTCCCACACAGGGTAGAACATACTCGATGAAGTTGGCACAAACTGTCAGTTATGAGCATATGTCCACATTGTTCGGTCAGTCTCCCATTGCCCATGATGCAAGCCCAGTAGAGGTCATCACGGAAGATATACACATATTTGTGCTCATCTTTTGCCTGAAAAAGAAAAATCCTAATATATTCATCCTTACCATATCTTTAAATACAAAACAAGTAAACAGCAATAACAGCATAACTTAATCAAAAACACTTACTTACAAAGGCAGGAGGGGGATCTCCATGTGGAGATGATGAGATTTCTGACAGGAATGGGTAGAAGGCATCTTTGGTCATATTGGGCTCAACTGAATAATACCAATTAAGGAAAATTTTGCAAGATGAAAGCCTTTTGTGTTTGTTTTTTAGCTGAGCATCTCCATAGGAACATAACATGATAATATATATAACTATCGGGGCTTCATAAGAAGCCTTTATATTCATTTTTCATTACAATAACCATTTTACACAATGTCAATGTCTTACTTATTACTAATGATCATATCCAGTATCTAGTAATATCAATCATGACTTTGTGACTTTGGATCTCTGTCAATCTAATATTTCATTGGAACCTTTTTTTCATACATCAATTAATCCCTATGATCTGATGTGACCATCATGTCATGAAAAATATTGGTTTGAGGGCTAGGTGACGTGAACACGCTGTCATGGAAAATTTTGGCTTAGGTGATAGCAAATACTCGCCAATAGGGCACAAAACTCTTGGATGGCTCATGGTGACCCATGACCCATGACTGGAAGAGTGCCTGTTCCAGGGAGGATACTCTTTCCATACTCAGGATCCTATTCCTGAATGCTGTGACCGGAGGAACTGGGTATCACAGAATATTACAGAACATAAAAAAATTATACAAATGACTAAATGTTTCTTATTGTTCTGTATGCAGCATATCAAATGACATATGTAGACATTGGAAAAGAGCAAAACATGCTTATACAGAAAAGTAAATAATATTACAAAGGGGAGGCAAGGAGACTGAATACTGAACATAAGTGTTCATGTGCACCCAGCCAAACACCCATGAGTGGCCACTTAGATAAGCCTAAGTAGACTTATACCACGCTTGGGCAGCAAAGCAACTGGATTCAAGGAACTTAGCTGTCTCTCTATTACTGTTTTACTGTGGTTTGATTAAATACAATAATATGGATCTTTAAGTTACATCTGATTTATTATTACTTCTGTTGGAGTTAATAGAATATTGGCAGGAAATATTTTCACTCTGAAGACTGTCCAATGTTTGGCATCTGTACCAAATTCTTATGATATAAGGCATAATTCTTGCCAGTCAGTATATGATTTTGATGAAATAGTAGTAGACTAATGGCATTGTTACTTTACTTTTAACCCTATAAATTTTAAGCATGAGAGACTGAGAAGTTTGTGAATACGAACTTTCTTTTTTTCTGCTTTTGAAAGTTTATGCTGGAGAAGGGCATTATTCATTAAAAGATTAGTGTAATTTTAAACAAAAGAATTCAGGTAATTATTCAGAAAAGCATAGTGACTAATGATTCTAATACCAATAGACAAAATATGATGTCTACTCCCATATATAATAATTTTAGTACTGGGAACCAACTAATTGCACTAACATTAGTGGTAATCAGAATATTGCAGTGGCAATCAATCAATGCAGTAAAGGCCAACAAACCTACGCCATGAATATTTTGGTAAGACAGAGCATGTAGACCTGTTTGGTAACTTACTTTAATTGAAGAACCAAGAAGAAACTCCCTCTTCCCAAAATATACATGCAGGTTTATTGATCTTTGCTACAGTGACGAGAGGCATAAAGGTTCAATCATTATATTAGACTACATTTAGTAACTCTAATTGCTGGCATAATATTAGCCAAATTCACATCTGTTTTAAGATTTCAGTTTATTTCTAATAATTACTAATACTGTTACTGTAGATAGTTTCTGATAAATATGCATTGAATACATTCCCCAGTAAATCTTTACAAGGTGAACGCACTCACCAGAGACTAAGTCCCCAACTCCACATCAAAAACTTCATTCAAGAAACTAAATTATCGTGACTGGACAATTTAGACTGGGTACTGTCTAAGGGGAGGGTTGAAGAGGGGCTCTACCACCACCAGTAACCCCCAGCAAATGTTATTGTGTTCATTTTGGTATTGTTGGATTCTTCTTACTCTCTAGTTTCCAAATATATAGAAATTATTGAGGAAATCCCCCAAACCCCCATATTCTGGACCCCAGTAGCAGGGGAGGGCATGAAAGGTACCAGGGGAAATTGTTGGGTAAAATATGAATAATAATCAGAATCAGCCAATGTACTGACTAATGTCAACCCCTGCCCAAAAAAACAAAGAATCCTCAATGTATTCACTGCAGGAGATAGCGCACAACTGTCATGTGAGAGCGTCGCTGCCAAGTCTGTCCGAGGCTATCTCCTGAATACGAAGAGAATTCTTTGGGGCTGGTTGGGCAGCAGACCCCATGGGGGGGTCGCAGTGGGCACAGT